TGCGGACGAAATATCCGTGAAAAGTTGTATTGGTTCGAGAATTCTCCCTTGTTTCCTATGGTAAAGGACATGAGTTGAAAATGGTGATATAAATTGAGCATGACATGATTTTGAGAAAGAAATGAAAACCGTTTTGACATTGACATTGATATTGCATATGCATTTCACCCTTAAATCTTTGTTAAGATTTATATGTTGTATTAGATTATTTCTACTAGGCTTTGGCTTACCCTATTTGGGGAAAACCATTTTCAGGTACTGGTGATATCCTTCTACTAAGGACTTAGCTTAGGAGGACTGTGGAGCTGGAGGCTCAGTTTATTTATTTTGTATTCACTTTTGTACAAGCCTAAAGCTTTACTTGTATTGAGCTTTAGACTCACTTTTGACGTACCTAAGTCTTGACTTGGAAAGATGTAAGCTTTTAGGGTATATGATTACTTGTTTAGCTGTTATCTCTTTTTTTATTGTTTTGTAACACATACTGTACATTCAGGATATACTATTTATGAATGTATATCGCACATTCATATCGCATGTGTCATCCTTTTGTATAATTGAATCTCAAGTAATAGAAGGACATTATACTCTGATTCCTATTGTTATTTACTTGACGTTTTGGGTGGTATATGGCATTTATTTCGAGGTGTTACAGACGAGTTAAATCCAAAAAACTCAAGTCAAGCTTGTAAAATTTTAAAGATCGGGCAACATAATTTTTAATTCGGCGAGAACCTATGCAAAATTCAAAAATTCGAACACATTTGAATAGACTTGGGCAGAGACACCAAATAAGCTAAGCAATCGAAACAAAATTGTATATATAAATATATAAAATTATTTAATAATTTAATTTTTAATAATAAACAAGATTAATTAAAAATATAATATTAATGAACAAACGCAAATACACCTTTTAGAAATAGATTATCAAATAAGTTGATATTAAAAAAATTAAATTTTATAATGATAAAATAATTTAAATATAATAAAATTAAATTTCTTACAAAATAAAAGTACATGGATAAAAAAAAAAGGTAAGAAAAAAATTTAGAATGATATTCTCATAGATGACCAATAAACTATCACCTATAACCCTAATTTTTTTTTTAAATATAAAAAAGGGTAACAACGAACCATTAGTTTTATTAGAAAAATAACTTTTATTTCTATTTGTTTTAGCAAAAGTCACTTTTTAGCAATATGAGCTCAAAAAAATTTCCTTTTTTATTTTAGTTTGTTTAATGGACAATTGAGATTAAAATAAAATAAAATAGAATCCATCATGTTTCGCAAGTGTTAAAAAGTCTAGATGAACGATAAAGAAAATATTTGATTACCAAAAAAAAAAAAAAAAGGCCCACAATTGTATCTACGATGATGTAGTATCATATGTGTCAACTCTTGCTTTGCTATAGACCCAATGACATAAGACCCAACTCCCTTGCCACATCATTGTGGGTGAAAGTGTGGGTCTATAGTATTACTGAAATAATAAATTATCACATAGTTTCACCAACTATAACTTTTAATAGAAAAAATGGCGAATTACACTAATAGTTCCTATAGTTTGGGACTTGCATCGCTTTGATTCCTGGCCTTTCAATTGTAATATATTTGATTTTAAATTTTGAATCTCGTTCCAAATAAGAACAATTGAAGACAATATTGCTCCATTTGAAGGGTAAAGTCATCATATAACTTACTTTGTGTTGGCTAACATATGTTGTTGAAATATAATGGCCTTTTTTTTTTTAATGAATAATGTTAGAATTTTTTTGGTTACAAAGTTCTGTTTAGTTTGATTTTCAGAAATTTTTTCTAAGAAACTAAAAAATTAAATTGGTGAAAAATATTAAAAATATATTATTTTTATATAATTTTATCTTTTAAGAGGGTAAAAATAAATTTTTTTTATATTTATTTCCGTTAAATTAGTTTTTATTTTTTCAAAAATCAAACATGACAACAATTTTGATGTTATTATTAAACCAATCCATTAAATCAAAAAATTCAAAACTAAAAATATTTTATATATTGAACATATCGATTATACATTAAAAGCCTAATAACTATCTATTACATGATAATCTTCAAAAAAAATCTATTAATAACAAATATAATCAGCTATTACATGATAATTATCCAAAAATATCAACAAAAACAACCACGTATTATATGATCATCAACCAAACACATACAAAAAATTAATTTGGTAAAAAAAATAAAGATGTAAAAGATTTGTTCTTTTTATATAATTTTATCTTTAGTGAGTAAAAATAATTTTTAAAAATTTAAAAGTAATTTTTTGACATTTATTTTTGTCAAAGTAGTTTATATTTTATCAAATTGACAACTTTTCCCCAGAAATGGAGTAACAATATCTTCAATTGTCCTTATTTAGAATGAGATTCAAAATTCAAGGCCAAATATGTTACAATTAAAAAGTCAGGGACCAAGGTGACACAAATCCCAAGTTCCAGGAACTGTTAGTGTAATTCGCCCTAAAAAAAAAAATGTTTGTTTCTATTTGATTTTATGAAAAGTCTCTTCTTTACTATTTAAACAAAAAAAAAATTATTTTAATTTGTTTAATTGACAATCGAGATTTAAAAAAAAAGAATATATTATGTTTGGCAATTGTTAAAAAATTTATTTATTTTCTTAATATTTTTTTCTTTTGTTAAAAAAATATTTGTTTTAAAAACATTTATTTTTCAAGTCCTTATAGTTTAGAAGGATATTAAAAAAAAATTATAAAGTTTAAAACCAAAAATGACAAAAAATAAAAATATAAACTTTTAAAAGCGATTAATAATTTGAATACGTGTATTTAATAACATATTATTTTTAGACCAATAATATTATAACACATGTGATTATTGACCTCATTCTAATTATTGTAACATAATTTTAAAAAGAATTTAATTTAATTTAATAAAATATGCATAAATTAAGGAATGAATATTGATTTTATTCTGATAACATAATTTAAGGAAGAATCTAAATTTAAAATTTTATTTTAAGAATATAAAATTAATTTATAGACCAATCATATTCATATTAACAAAAATTTAAAAAATCAATAAAATAAAATAAAATAAAGAATTACAATTTTAGCTTTAATAAGATGACATTGTTTTGTAATTATAATAGTATATAGATTTTGTATGATGTTTTGAAACTCTCATAATATCTTTTCTTAAAAGTATTTTTTTAAAAAAAATATGTAAATATATAAATAATGTTAACATCACTCTTATTGTTCCCTAATACAAAAATTATGAGCTAATTATGATAATTTTAAATTTGTATTTAAAACTTATAAATTATGGGATAGATCATTACAATTTTAAATTTATATTGTGCTAATTTTAAATTTAAATTAATAGATTACTTTCAATATTTAGTCACCTACAAATTTGAATTTTGAAATGGATTAGTATATTTTTCATCTTTTTTAAATTTGATGTAATTTTCATTTGAAAGTCATAAATCAAGAGATATTAATTTTTATTTATTTATTTATTGCTTGAATAAGAGCTAGTCAATAGAAGATTGTTTTAACTTTTAAAAATCAAAAAATTATGAAATTTAGATTTAGAACTTGGAGCTCTTAGATGCCTTATGGGTTAAAAACCCTCCTCTATTTATATAATATATAAATTTAAATTAATAGATTACCTTTCATATTTAGTTACTTGCAAATTTGAATTTTGAAATGGATTAGTATATTTTTCATCTTTTTAAAATTTGATATAATTTCTATTCAAAAGTCATAAATTAAGCAATATTCAATTCTTTTGTTTCTAGTTTTCAAAATTTACTTTTTAGAAAATTCTATTTTTTTACTTTTTGTATTTTTTTGTTATCACTGAAATTTTTTAATATTTTAAGAAAAAAATTTTAAAAAATTTTAGATGCAACTAACATAAATACACTTAGAAAATATAATATTTGTGAATTTCTTTTAAAAAAAATCACTAAATACTAAAAATAAAAAAAGAAAATAAAATAAAAATTCAGTACATTGTTTCATATTTTTGTGTATTTATTAATTTTAAAAAATATTTTTTCACAAATAATTTATTATTTAGATACATTTAAATAAGGTATATCTTAAAAAGAAAAAAAAATTGCTTAAAATTTAAAAAACTCAATTTTCAAAAAATTAAAACCAAACACACTGATTAATTTTTATTTACTTAAATAAGAGTGAGTCAATAGAAGATTTTTTAACTTTTAAAAATCAAAAAATTATAAAATTTAGATTGGAAACTTAGAGCTCTTATAGTTCTTACGTGTTAAAAATCTCATTTTCTATATATAGATAGATAAATATATTAGATATGTATTTTCCATTCTATATTTAATTTATGTGTTTATAACATTACTTTGCTTGGTTTGGATTTTCTAAAAACACTTTTCAGAAAATTTTATTTATTTCTGTATTTTTTTGTTTTATTGATTTGTTTTTATATTTTAAGTAATTTTTAAAATTTTTAGACACACCTACATAAATACACTTAAAAGTTATAATTTTCATGATTTTTTTTATAAAAAAATTCATTAAATATAAAAAATATATATAAAAAAATATGAAATTTCGATATTTCGATATGCTATATTTTTTTGTATTTTTGTATATTTATTAATTTTTTGAAATATTTTTTTTTCAAATATTTTACTTTTTAGATATATCTAAATAAAGTGCATCTGAAAAATAGTAAAAAAAATACTTAAAATTTTAAAAACATTTACTAAAAATATATAAAAAACAAAAAAAAATCAATTTTCAAAAAATTAAATTTAGAAAACGAAACCAAATACACTACATGCTTTTTCCTTGTCTCTATAAAAACAAATTTTCAATTCGTTAAATTCCACAATCCCACCTGACAACTCGAACAAGCCCGTCTGTTCCATTCTCTCTCTATAAGAGAGAGAGAGAGAGAGAGAGAGAGAGAGAGAGAGAGAGAGAGTGAGAGTGAGGGAGAGCAATGAAGAGAGAAGTGTTAGTTGTGGAATGTGAGATGGATCGGCAACCTGGAATCCCTGACTCGGTCGCCACTCGATCGGACGACATCGCTTTGGTGGTGTTTGATTCCGCCGCTCCTCCTCCTCCTCCTCCAATCCCACCTTCAGGGGACAAGGTGCGTATTTATTAACCTTACACACACACACCACACACACACCTTCCGGGGACAAGGTACGTATTTATTACCCTCACACACACACACACACACACACACACACACACACACCCCTTCAGCGGACAAGGTACGTATCTGTTACCCTTACAGACACCACACACACACTATACATCTATGTATCTATACGTACATATTCATATGTATGTGTCAAAATTTTGTACTTCTGATACTATATGGCTTCCCTCCAATTCATATTAGACTGGAGGGTGCTGTTAACCCGTCAAGCAACCCACGTCGATAATCCAACTAGTCAAGCATTTCATCAATGTAAAAAAATTATATTAATGACATATCGATAGTTATATAAAACGCAACGGTAAATATGATTTTAAAAATAAATTATTAAATTATTAGTGTAACAAAAAAAGTGTCACAATTTTTTTTTTGTTGTTGTAATTATGCATTATTTTTTTTGACAATTTAACAAACGAGGATTGAATTACAGAAGTGTTTAATAATTACTGAATGGATGTGGAGTTTTATCAGTTATTACCAATTGTAAAGGTATTTTGGCTAACAACAATGATTGAGACCCCAAATTTTGAGACTTCCATGACCCCAAAAATGAAATGGACCATTCATGTAAGAGAGATAGAAGAAAATATATATATATATATATATATATATAAATGGTCCAGATCATTTTGGGTTGTCATGGGATCCCAAAATTGGGCGTCTCACTCATTTTCCTTTGGCTAAAACAAAAAAGCATCACAAAATTTCTGAATTATTGTATGCTTTACAGTAATATAATACATCTATCTATCTCTCTCTACACTATTATAAAGGTGTTTATGTTCCAGTTTTTGAGTTTTCTCAAAATACACTGATAATAGTTATATGTGTTAGATAATGTCTCAATGAGACCACATAATTAAATGTGGTGTTATCATTTATAAGAAGCCTACAATTTAAGTGATTCAATTTAGTTGATAGGCTTAAGGGTATATGTGTTATGGACCTAATGTGTAGATACTAGTTGTATAATTTCTATTTCTATGAGCGGCAGAAATAGAAATTAAAACATATTGGTTAAAGTTGGTTTTCATTCCTTTTGAACTTCCACAACCTTTCAGTTTTGAAAACCAATTACAACCTTTAAAAGGTTATGGTCCCTATTCCTTCCCAAGTAACTGTTTTTTCCTAAATCCTCTCAAGGAAAAACATAAGGCACCAAAGGAGAAAGGATTAGTAGGCAATAACATAATCAATAACAAAGAGTTCATTGATAATCACGCTTCCGTTTAACCATTCATCAATGGATTCATGTATGTCATTTTGTCTTGATTTCTTGATAATACACATGGTAAATGATCCAAAGTGTAAGGTTTATGTTCTGAAATTTATGTTTACAATTGGTTTTCAAAACTGAAAGGTTGTGGAAGTTCAAAAGGAATGAAAATAGTTTCTTGGAATCAGATTCTGTTTTTTGTATTTCTGTTTTTTCCTCTGCTGCAAATTCTGTTTTGTTTTCTGGAAATGGAACATAATTCGGATGGGCGGTTCATTTTTCAAATGGTGAACATCATGTATTTATATATATATATAGATATATCTTGCGATTTGATCGGTTTAATTTTGAACATCATAAAAAAAAACTATTTATTTTTGGACTCGTCAATTCTATTTATATATGTATATATATAATTGGAATTGCTGCAGATTATATAACATATATGGGGTCACAAATTTGGAAATCTTTAAATTTAATGTAATTTCATACAACGTCTACAGAAATTTAATTTTCTAACATTCTCAATATAAGTCAATTCAAACAAGATGTCACAAAAGTGATCTCTCTTGTCTAGATTGTTTTATATGGAATGTTTTGAAGTTCATGTATGTGTATCTCATGCGGGTATTTATCGGTCCAAAGACATGATTAAGACTTGGCAGAATTACACACACATTTTGTGGTGATAAACATGTGCCAATTGTCAAGAAAACCTAATGTGAATAATAAATCCATCAAAAGATAGATTTGTTATTTGACATAACTTATTGTCAATGTTTGATCATTACAACAAGAATACCACTTACAGTTAATATCACTACCCAAAGGCTTGGTATTAATGTTGTGCTAGGTATCTTGAGATGTTGTCATTAAATTAATTTATTTAGAGATTATCTGTTTGGTAACTTAATGTGAGCATAATTGTTTATTCCTTTTATTTTCTTTTCTATTCAGCTTTAATGTCGACTACTTCAATCTCTGCCAACATGAACAATGTTCCAATGTTAAATGGAACAAACTTTAAGGACTGGAAAGAGAACATATTGATTGTTCTCGGCTGCATGGACATAGACTTGGCATTAAGGATGCCAAAACCGAATGCTCTCACTGCACAAAGTACTCCTGAGGAAACTGTGTACTTTGAAAAGTGGGATCGTTCTAACATGCTAAGTCTTATGATCATGAAGCATGGGATTCCAGAAGTTTCTCGGGGTGCAATAACAGAGGATGTTACCGTTGCCGGTGAATTTCTTTCAGAAATTCAAAAGCGTTTTGCTAAAAACGATAAAGCTGAAACAAGCACGCTTTTAGCAAGCTTGATTTAAATAAAGTATAAAGGCAAGGGTAATGTTCGCGAGTACAACATGGAAATGTCTCATCTTGCTTCAAAACTTAAGGCACTGCAAGACCACTTAAGTTATATTGTGACAATAAGTCTGTAGTTTTATATTCCAATAACAACAGGAGCTCGACAAAATCAAAGCATATTGATATCAAGTTCCTAGTTGTAAAAGAAAGAGTGCAGAGTGGACAGATTTCCATAGAGCACATTGGGACAAACTCCATGATAGCGGATCCACTTACGAAGGGACTACCACCCAAGGTCTTTCATGAGCACACTGCTCAGATGAGTGTTGTTCTATTTGAGAACATTCTGGTTTAGTGGGAGTTTGTATTTATATTACTGCTTTATGTCAGCCTTGAGTTTTATCTATGTAATTAGATTAATTTCTACAGAAATGAAATATTCAGTTTATTACGCTCTGTTACGTATTGTGAAGTATTGATCTCAATAAAGTTAAGTAGGACCAGTTGGAAATAGGCATGTATGGATCACATCACATGTAATTTCCATGCTACGCATCCATGATTGATCTATGTCATTTAGCTGCATTATGTTATGGACCTAATGTGTAGATACTAGTTGTATAATTTCTATTTCTATGAGGGGCAGAAATAGAAATTAAAACATATTGGTTAAAGTTGGTTTTCATTCCTTTTGAACTTCCACAACCTTTCAGTTTTGAAAACCAATTACAACCTTTAAAAGGTTATGGTCCCTATTCCTTCCCAAGTAACTGTTTTTTTCCTAAATCCTCTCAAGGAAAAACATAAGGCACCAAATGGGAAAGGATTAGAAGGCAATAACATAATCAATAACAAAGAGTTCATTGATAATCACGCTTCCGTTTAACCATTCATCAATGGATTCAGGTATGTCATTTTGTCTTGATTTCTTGATAATACACATGGTAAATGATTCAAAGTGTAAGGTTTATGCTGACAATATGACCAATTATACCCTAAATTCTATTTTTTTTTTCAAAATTAGAATTTTTTATCAAATAAAATTTACAATTAATTATTATTATTTTACTAACTTTTGTCATATATATTTGTTGTTTTCCCTGATAATCAAACAAAGAACAATTATTTAGTTTACATTCTTTTTGTCTTTTTCCACAACAAATCCAAAAACAAATAGAATGTTAGAGGATGGTGTTTTGTCCTGCGTGTGAATTAGTTTTTGATTTATCAAAGTTAGTAAGGGTGTGTTTTGGTTTGAAAGGGGGAATCAGTTATTAGAGGGTTAATGGGATGTGATGGTAAGGAGAGGATGGTGTTTGTCCTGATTTTGGAAAAGTTGTTGAATTATCATTGTTAGTGGGGTGTGGTTTGGTGTGAAAGGGAGAATCTAGGCATACTTGTACAGGATGGTTTTTGGAACTTTCGTGGAGCTTCTGTGTTTGTGTTGGTGTTAAGTTGTTCTTAACTCTTTTTTTCTGTTTTTGATTATCTTCTTTTTTATTTATTTATTTATTTATTTCTTCTGTATTAAAAAAATCTTGAGGTCTGAGGGGTTGGTTAGATGGTTGCGAGTAGTAATAGTAGGGATAGTCTATACTTTTCAAATCTCTCTCGATGCATGTCATCTTCTAGTACTTTTAATTTCATATTTTTTATGAAATTTTTCTTTACTGATCAAAAGAAAAAAATATCAAATTATGTCTCACTATAATTTTCATTTTTCTTTCTCTTTTTTTTTTGGGGGGGGGGGGGTTTATACATGATCCAATTGAGGTTTCCCAAATTTGTTAATTTGAAGTTGTTACGTTTATGTTTAATAGTTCATTTAGAAATGTTTGAAATTATGTACTATTCTAACTTCAATTCTGTCTTTCATCTTTTTTTGTTTTTCTTCGTAATATGAAGTTTTAGATTTAATTTTTGAGAATTTTTATAATTTGAAGTTGTGAGTAAAATCTCCTATGTTGGATTAGGGAATTCTGAAACTTGCTTACAAGACATTAGGAGTTGTTTTTGGAGGGCTTGTGACTTCCCCACTGTATGTTTATCCTTCAATGCGATTGAAATCTCCAACTGAAGATGATTACTTGGGTATCTACAGCATCATGTTTTGGACTCTCAGTCTAATTGGGGTCGTCAAGTATGCTTGCATAGCTCTCAGAGCCGATGATCAAGGTGAAGGTACAAAATATTTGAATGATTCATTGTAGTTTTTTATGTTTATGCTAATAGCTAACGTTGTGGTGAGGATCCCTTTTTGCTTCCAAAATTTGGCCTTCTATATGTTTTGCTTTTATGTGACATTAACCATTTATCTTGCACTTTGTTGTGAATTTGACTCAGTTCTTTCTTTGTCAATATAGTTTATCCTTTACTTTCAACTAGTCAGTAGTCTCTTTCATTTATAATTTTCTTTTTTCATTTTTTATTATTTGTCTGTCTTGTTTTAAGTATTATGTTGGTAACAATTCCAAAATTAAATTGTGGGAGGATAATTTTGATGTAGTTCCTTTAACTACACCCTTTTTTCATTTCTTTGTCGCGATGGTGAGAATTATTATTATTGCTCGTTATTAGGACATGTTTTTCTTTTTATCATTTTTCGATTTGGTTGAATTTTGTGTTTGGCCACTTGATCCAAATGATTCTTTTCTTGGAAATACTTTCTCCTTCAACTTCTGTGTGCTATCAAATCTTGTCCATTTCTACTAGACAAAAGTGACCTAGAATTGTGTTTGAGGCATGACCCGCAATTAGGAAAACACGGGTAATATGCTTTAAAGATGCTTTTGGGGTAATTTTTGGGGTGATTCCCAAAGTATGATTACATTTTTCCTATTTAGCATGCTTCTGCTTATCATTTGTAGGAAAGGATGTTTTTGTTGGCTGGAAAAGATTGGCCTATTTGCAAATACCATCAATGTTTTTTTTTTTTTTTTGGCTCAAGAGACTTCAGGGGCAAGATTATTTGGAGATATGTTTTTTTTTTTGCTTTTTCACTAACCGTTTGGTATATGATAGAATGATAAGAGTTTTTCTTATTCTTTTTCTTCTTTTTTGTTTTGTTTTGTTTTTTGTTTTTTGTTTTGCGTCACTATCAATAAATTTCTGTTTCTTGTGGGATCAAAGAGTGAAACCTAATTTTTGCCATGATTTTTGCATAGTGAATTGAGCAAAATGAGCCTTATTGGAAATAATTTTGTTAGGGACCATGATACCATTGCCCAGATTGATACTTCAAATCAGGTTCAAACAGCGATATGATGGACTTTCATCCTTCTGTATGTGACGTATAAATTTTAAATACTATATCTAGTACCTAATTGTACGGAAAACTTGGCTTAAAAAACAACTCCTAGAAAAAAATGAAAATAATTTGCATGTTCTCAATGCCATTGCAAGATCAGAGGTAAAGAACTTCCTATTTGAGTGTTTTTATTCTGCTTTAATTTTGACCACAGCTATAAGACAATAAATTTTTAGGAGGCTTCGAAATTTGTTATTCATGCAACAATTTTTCTGTTCCTTCAGAGGAAAGAATATGATCAATCAATCTTGAATGTTTTATTACCAAGTTGTTCTTCGACAATGGTTTTGAGATGATACTAAAAGTCTTATATGGTCGATATACTTTTCAAAACAAAAAGCTTGTTTGCGCGATACATTTAATTCGCTTATTATGACTAAATTTAAAATTTTGTTTGCTCGATATATTAAATTCTCTTCCTGATTTGTAAGAACAATTTTTCCACATGTCACTTGCATCCATATGCATCCGTTTGCTTGAAATCTCAAATTCTGGATAATGATTTTGTTGGCTTTTTGGCTTTTCGAAGGGTATTGTTGTAAATGTGAGCGTGCCAGTAAGGATCAATCAGTCCTTACAGAAATTGTGATTGCCAACCAATTATCAGACGATTGTGTTTTAGTTCTTTTCAGCCTCAATGAAGAGGACTTTTACTGGTGGCTTGACTTAGGAGAAATTAAGAGAAATAACAGTAATATGAAGAACAATTGAAGTATTTCATAAAAATGAACACTTACAATGGTCCAAACTCAGCCTCGGAGAGGTTTACAACAGCAATCTACTTAAATCCACTTGAAGCTACTCCTATGAATCGAAGTACAGTGCGGGTATTTAAGGTGCAGGTATTTAAAGAACAGGTATTTAAAGACTAGAAATGTAAAAAACTGGAAAAGAAAATATATGAAGTAAATGACTGATTTGTATGATCTGAGTTCGGTCCCCTTTTCTGGGGGCTGCCTTGCTATTTATACTCGTCAGTGATGACCTTCGAACTGCACTTCGAACCGTCGAACTGCTCCTCCATGATCGCTGATCATGCTTCCATACAAGTAGCTCCATTACGCCATTACTGGCAGTTGAGCTTCCCTCTTGTACTTGAATTTGAATATGAGTAACCGTTGAAGATATGTCATCTTGCATCCCGTTATTGATCTAGTGTTACTCAGATCATGTGAGGACCAATATTTATTGCCACGTGTCCGATCAGGATTAAAGGCTTGAATCACCTTCCTTTATTACCCTTACTCTGCCACGTATCGAACTGTAACTGGCTTTTACAAAATATGTAGCCAACAGATTTATTGCAGGTGGAACATTTGCTTTATATTCATTACTTTGTAGGAATTTGGATATTGGAATTCTTTCTTCCAAACGTGTAGCTTTGAACTCAAGCTCTGAAAAGCAAAGTAGGCTGGGTATTTTTTTCGAAAAAAGTGTGGTCGCGAGAAGAGTGTTGCTTTTCATTGCAATGCTAGGTATGTGCATGCTAATCGGTGATGGGATACTTACACCTGCAATCTCAGGTTTGTTACCATTTAACTATCCTTCACTTTTATTTTTTATTTTTTTTATGGCAGCAGTTTTTGTGTTTAATTGTTCATAACAATCTTCTATCTTTTATCAAAATTATTTCAGTGCTATCAGCAATGGACGGCATAAGAGCACCTTCCTAGTATTTGATTGTCGTTAAAGTTCAATGACAATGACATCTTTTCAAGGTGTCATTTTCTTGAAAAGAAAAGCCCCTTAACTTTGTGTATTTTTTTCAATTAAGCCTCTAATCTATTTTTTCATTCAAATAGGCCCTCTAACTTTCCAAATTGATTTAATTTAATCCTTTTGTTACATTCTGTCTACTTTTTGCAGTTAAGAATATCATATGGTCCCTAACTAAATGGTAAATTGGTAAAATCAACATTAAAACCCATTTTTCTAGTATCAAAACAAACAGATAAGTAAATCCATTGTCGACCTTGGAAACATGTGTTGGTGATGGAATGAAACTATTTCTCTGTGACCTTAAGTTTTCTCCTTTGAAATACTTGATATAAGCACTTGGCAACAGATATAATAGCTAAAAAGCATAAGAGATGGAAGAGATCATAGTGTCATCTGAAACTTCTTTCATTTTTATGGAGTTCAGTTTGTTTATGTGTTCACAGATTTCTTGGTTTTCAATTTGCAGCCTTAGTTTTAGTTGAAGTCATGTCTGCAGTAGTTCTTATTGTTCTGTTCCTGCTACAGAAGTATGGTACCTCACGAGTGAGTTTCATTTTCTCTCCCATTATGGGCACATGGACCATCACTACTCCTCTTATAGGAATTTATAGCATTATTCGTCATTACCCGAGCATATATTCAAGGCGATATCACCACACTACATCGTCAGTTTTTTTTTTTAGAAATGGAAAGGAAGGCTGGGTATTGCTTGGTGGCACCGTCCTTTGCATCACCGGTGAGCCTCGTGTTTCTGGTCTATTACATTGTGGTTATTAATGAATGACACTACTGTTCTTTCCACAAATTCTCTGGAAAGCATATTCCTCTATAGCCTATAACTTGAATAGCAGGACTAAATGCTAGTGTTAAAAATTGAAAATAATTTTTGAAAGCCATGATTTAGGTACTTTATTGTAGAAAGATTGAGGAAGATTATCAATTTTTTTCTTAGTGGTTTAGATATAATGATTTTACAAGTAACAAGAAAGAATTGGTGCTTAAAGTTTTCTTTGTGTTTTGGCTTGTATATGTACTTATGAAGGTCTTTACTAGGTTTGTTAACGAATTGGATTTGGATCAGATTTCGTGTATTTCAAATCCATCCCAATTATAAAATTTGAACCTGAACCTGAACCTGAACCTGAACCTGTGTTGATTATGACAAATCCAATAAGAGATCACCTGAATCTGATTTATTTGGGAATTCTGATTCAAAAATTCAACCCAACCCAATTTATTTTAGTACTTAATTTTTTTTTTCGTTTCAGTATCATTTTCTTGATTTCCTGGTTGTCATTGCCCATTGTTCAGAAAATGTTTTATTTTTTCATATTTTTTTTAGAAGGTTAGGTTCAATTGCTTAGTTGATCAAAGTGGAAGAATCAATTGTTTAGGCAAGTACATTGTTCTAGACACGCTTGATTCATTAATGTGAAATTTCAGTTTTTTCAAGTTCGGAAGCATTGTTTGCTGATCTTGATCATTTCAATCGGAAATCCATTCAGGTGTCGTATTTAGCTCACTCTCTCGTGAATTTCCATTTCTTTGATATAATGCAGCAGTTTTCTAACACATTCTCTCCTAGCAGCTAGCCTTTCTATTTACTATATACCCATCGTTGGTTATGACATATGCGGGACAAACAACATACCTGATCAAAAACCCAAATGATCACGATGGCGGGTTCTACAAGTTTATACCAAAAACAATTTACTGGCCTATGTTCATCATAGCCACGTTGGCAGCAATTGTTGCGAGTCAATCACTGATATCGGCCACCTTTTCTATTATCAAGCAATCTGTCACACTGGATTATTTCCCTCGAGTCAAGGTGGTGCACATCCTCCAAGAAAGAAGGCAAGGTTTACTACCCAGAAATCAATTACATCCTCATGATACTTTGTGTTGCTGTTATTCTCATTTTCGGTGATGGAAGGGATATCGGAAATGCTTTTGGTATGATAAACTAATTGACCTTCAATGTTTTTTTCTTTTTTAATTGAACATCTGAAAATTTACTTTCTAGTTTATCATAATGTTTTTCAAAAACAGTTCGCCAAATGCGTTTTGCAAAATAAAATAAAATAAAATAAAAATTTTAAAAAAACACAATCAAACACGTCTACTGTTGTTCGTTCTGTTGTATTATGCAACTTCTTTTTTCTTGTTTATATGTCATTTTGACTTTCTTATTCTGCAATTTTAATGCATCTATTGATCGTTAAGACATTGTTTATAGGTGTTGTTGTTAGCCTTGTTACGCTTATCACCACAATACTATTGACATTAGTCATGATCATGATTTGGCGAACTCCACCGGTGTTGGTTGCTCTTTACTTCATCGTATATTTTGTGATGGAAGGCGTTTATGTGAGTGCGGTTTCCACAAAAATCCCACAAGGTGGATGGATTCCATTTTTTATTTCTTTCATCTTTGCTTTCATCATGTTCGGTTGGTTCAATGGAAGGCACATAAAGATCCAGTATGAGCTATCCCAGAAGGTAGACAGAGACCGACTAAGAATGCTATTATCTGATCCCATAATCCAAAGAGTTCCCGGAGTTTGCTTCTTCTACACCAACGTTCAAGACGGTTTGACCCCAATTCTCGAGCATTACATAAAGAACATGAAATCTCTTCTCAAGGTTACTATTTTCACGACCTTTCGATACTTGTTGGTTCCCAGAGTTACGCCACATGAAAGAATTGTTGTTAGCAAACTAGGCCTTAAAAGGGTATATAGATGTGTGGTTCAATATGGTTATGCTGATTCTCTTGATCTTGAAGGAGACGATTTTGTGAGTCAAGTTATTGATAGATTGCGGGCACATATACAGAATGGCTCTGACTATGCAATGTCAGTTACTTCTGAGCTTGAGGAAGAGATGTCTGATATGGAAGAGGCAAAGTCCACTGGCGCAGTTCATGTTCGGGGAAAGACAAGGTTTTATGTAAGTAAAAATTGTGGTTGGTTTGATGGGTATATGCTTGCATTCTATGAAGTTCTGAATAGGAATTATAGGTCAGCATTGCCTGCTATAAGGATGCTGCTATCGCAGTGTGTTGAGGTTGGAATGCTATATGAGGTTTGTGTGAGAGAGAGAGAGAGAGATGAGTGTTGGAACAATTTTCTGTGTAAAATAAATAAATTGAAACAAATCAAACAAATAATATAAATTACGTACCGAATTTATTTTACTGAATCAAATAAATAATTAAAAGATCAAGTCGAGTGTGTGATACTCTGTCCTTAGGATAGATTTGCCCTGCTACGGTGTTTACGGTTAAGTGGCGTCTATCTCCCAAGATACAATAATCTTCACAAATTGTAGTAGCACTCCAAACAACTTGTTCGGCGAACAAAAACCTGTGTTCTTACTTTTTGAATTTTTCCTAAAATTAATATAAAGATTATATCATGCAAGAGAGCAAAACTAGAAGGAAAATGAAGAATTTTGGATTACCAAAATGCTGGAACAGATCTGGTATATATAGATCCGAACAGGTGTGAAAAACAAACTGAACAGGTGGGTTATTAGAATTAATAGGTACTGTTTGAATTTCAACAGATCTGCTGGACAGTTTGGTCTGTTTGAACTGTATAGATTCAAATCTGTGTAACTGCAGCAGTTTCTAGCAGTTTTTAAAACTGTAAAACAGTTTGAATCTATTTAGGAATTTCTGACAGAAGGTGGTAAAATTTGGACAGAAAATTAATTTCAATTTTGGCATAAAATTGGAATTTAATTTCATTAAGAATTTTCTGGAAAAATTCAAATGAATTTTGTACAAAAAAATAATAATATTAGAATTGACCCGACCCACACCCGCTCCCGACACGGCTCGGCTCGGCCGGACGGCGACGCGCGTGTGGTAGTTTGGGTTAAGGTTCACTTTGTTCATAACTCCCCCCTTCTACAAACTTGGGGTGTCTCTTGGGGCCCAACCCAAGTTAGTACACCAAGAGCTTATATACTCACCAAAGCTCTCTTAAAGTTTTAATGTGGGACAACCTATTTTAAGGAAACCCACATTTATTTCTCTAATTGTTCATTTCACGAACCCGAAAACGACGTCAACATCTCATTCACTCATAAATGGTTTTGATGAACCATCTTCACCTTGTAACTTGCCATGCGGCAAGGAACACGTCACCTCTTCGGACCCACCCCAAAAGACGTTTAGGGCCACTCAATTTTGGGCTCAAAGTTGGACTAAAATAAGCCCTATAAATACCAATTTCCAACAATTCCCCATATGAATGGAATTTGACGGAGAGAAAATGCAACAACATGATCTAATTACAGAGAGTACAAAAATTGAAAATATTCTGCAAAGGATAGGTAGCTTTTGGCTTTGAGCCTTCCCTTGTGAGACACTATCGAATTTACTAGCTAACTAGTGAACATGATGTCTTGAACTGTTCAGCCATTTGTGTAAATCAAGACAATAGAACTCACACAGTATATCCCCAGACACAGTTTAGTTCTCACTATTTTGTTCATTTTGGCCCTGAACAACTTGGTCTTTCATGAGTGCTCTAGAGAATTGTAGCCCTTCACAAATCTCATAGAACCGACTCAGTTCACACTCACATAGGTGATTCTTATGAAGAGTATCCTGCCATACTCCACTAGGTTTACCTAGATATAAGAATCATTAAAAGTATTACTTAACCTAAAACGCTGCAGACGTCACTATTTTACCATAGAAATGGGTAGGAGTTGGACTCCCTAGTGATCCATCTGAGTCATACACAACTCAGTTGTCCCTTTGAACCTAGATCATAGGATCTCCAGTCAACTAGGTTGGGTTGCAGTTGTGGTAACTCTTTTTTAATAGGCTTTAGTCCCATTTCCCTCGATGAATTCTCAACTAGCTCTCTTGCTAACCCTTTGGTTAGTAGATCCGCTATGTTGTCTTTAAATTTCACATATTCAATGGAAATAATTCCATTAGAGAGTAGTTGTCTTACGGTATTATGTCGACGACGAATGTGTCGTGACTTACCGTTATACATATGACTCTGTGCTCTACCAATTTCTGATTGACTATCGCAATGTATGCATATAGTAGACATCGGTTTTGGCTACATTGGAATATCTTCAAGGAAGTGACAAAGCCATTCTACTTCTTCCCCAACTTTATCTAAAGTTATGAATTCTGATTCCATAGTAGACTTAGCTATGCAAGTCTGTTTAGAAGATTTTCAAGATACAGCCGCACCACCAAGAATAAAGACATACCCACTGGTGGATTTTGAGTCTCTAGTATCCGATATCCAGTTTGCATCACAGTACTCTTCAAGTACTGCTGGATGTCTAGTATAATTCAGCCCAATGTTCCGAGTAAATCTAAGGTATCGTAGAACCCTTATAATTTCTTTCCAGTGTTCTACTCCTAGATTACATGTATATCTATTTAATTTACTTACTGCATTAGCTATATCTGGGCGAGTGCAGTTCATCAAGTGCATTAAGCTTCCAATAATTTGGGCATACTCTAATTGAGAAATACTTTCTTGTACATTCTTAGAAAGAAACAAATTAACATCCATAGGTGTTCTAACAAGATGATCATCATCTTTGCTGAATTTGTCAAGTATTTTCTTAATATAATGAGATTGTGACAAAGCATAACCTTTTGATGTTTTGGTAATTTTCATAACAAGAATTACATCAGCAATATTCATGTCCTTCATGTCAAAATGTTCATTCAACATTTTCTTGGTAGGTTTAATCATATCATTATTACTACCTATGATGAGCATATCATCCACATAAAGACATACAATGACATAACCTTTGTCTGTGTTTTTAATATAAACACATTTGTCACACTCATTAATTTTAAATCCATTTGACATCATTGCCTTGTCAAATTTCTTATGCCATTGCTTTACTGCTTGTTTTAAACCATATAATAATTTAACCAATTTACACACTTTCTTTTCTTTTCCTGGAATAGAAAATCCTTCAGGTTGTTCTATGCAAATTTATTCATGTAACTCACCATTTAAGAAAGCGGTTTTCACATCCATTTGATGAATTTCTAGATTGTACAAAGACGCAATAGCAATTAGCATTCTAATGGATGTTATTCTAGTAACCGGTGAGTATGCGTCAAAGTAATCAAGTCCTTTTTTTTTTTTTGTCTAAAACCTTTGTCCACAAGTCTTGCCTTGTATTTGTCAATTGATCCATCCGCTTTCATTTTCTTTTTGAAAATCCACTTGTACCCAAGAGGTTTACAACCTGGTGGCAAATCCACCAATTCCCAAGTGTGATTTTGCAAGATGGATTCAACTTCACTATTGACAGCTTCTTTCCATAAAGGAGCTTCAGGACTGAACATAGCCTCTTTAAAAGTTAAGGGCTCATTTTCTAACAAAAATGTTAGAAAATTTGGACCAAAAGATTTTGAGGTTCTAGCACGCTTACTACGCCTAAGTTCTTTTTCCTCATTTAGATCTATCTCTTGCTCTTGTTCTTGATAATGTTTTTGATCCTGAGTAGTAACAGCATCATGAGATTTTTTATTATTGCTAGTCTCTTGTCTAGTTTTATTTGGAAACACATGTTCAAAGAAAGATGCATTCCGAGATTCAATAATAGTATTTACATGCATTTCGGAATGTTCTGATTTATGAATCAAAAACCGATATGCACTACTATTCTTAGCATATCCAATGAAATGCAATTAAAGGTTTTAGGATCTATCTTAGTCATTTTAGGACTAGGAACAACCACTTAAGCCAAACACCACCATACTTTTAAGTACTTGTAGGATGGTAATCTCCTATGCCATAATTCATAAGGTGTTTGATTCACTTTCTTTCGGTGTATTTAATTAAGTAAATAATTAGCAGAACGTATTGCTTCCCCCCACAAGTTCTAAGGTAATCCAGAGCTGATTAACATGGCATTCATCAATTATTTTAAAGTCCTATTTTTCTTTTCAGTAATTCAATTTTGCTGAGGTGAGTAAGGAGCTGTGGTTTGATGAATTATTCCATATTCTTTACAAACCTCACCAAAAGGTGATTCATATTCACCATCTCTATCACTTCTAAGTTTCTTAATTTTCTTACTAAGTTGATTTTCAACTTCATTCTTATATTGAATAAAAGTTTCCAAAGCTTTATCCTTGGTTCGAATTAAATAAACATAACTATATCCAGTATAGTCATATATGAAAGTGATAAAATATTTTTTCTTACCTCTAGTTTGAATTGATTTAAAATCGCAAATGTCACTATGAATTAATTCAAGTGGTTCTGTACTTCTTTCAATTGAATGAAAAGGAGTTTTGGATAATTTTGTCCCAACACAAATTTCACACTTATGATTCAAATCAATGTCAAATTTAGATAAACATTCCATATTAATTAATCTATGTGAAGATCCATAATTAACATGTCCAAGTCTACCATGCCATAAATTTGAAGACTCAAGCAAGTAAGAAGAAGATGTATTTTTATTAATAACAGAGGGTACAACAGTCATTACATTCATTTCGAAAAGGCCATCAGACATGTAATTTTTTTCTATGTATATATCGTTTTCGGTAAGTACAAACTTGTCACTTTAAAAAACTAGTTTAAACCCATTTTTACTCAACAAAGATCCGGAAACAAGATTCTTGCGAATGTCCGGTACATGCAGCACATTGTTGAGAGTGAGTTCCTTTCCATATGTCATCTTAAGTAAAATCTTTCCTTATCCTTCAACTTTGGAAGTTGAGGAGTCGCCCATAAAAAGTTGCTCACCGTTGTCCACTATAGAATAAGATGTGAACATCTTTTTGTCGGCACAGATATGGCGAGTAGCACCAGTGTCCACCCACCATTCTTTAGGATTTCCGACAAGGTTTGCCTTGGAAACAACTGCAGAAAGATTTATGTCATCCACACCATTGGAAATATTGTCCACTTCGGTCATATGGGCTTGAGCAGGCTTCTTGCTTGTTCTTTTTTTGCCTTTGTAAAAATCAGTTCCTAAGAACTTCTCTGGCTTTTTACCATGATTCACTAGCACAGTCCCAACATAAGGAGGTGTAGAGACCCTAATTTTTTGTAATTACACTTGAAACCCTGAGCCTTAGGTTAATAACATTTTAGTCCAAGTTCTATAAAAGTCTGTGTTAGGGCCCAAGTAAAGAATAATTTCTCTGTGTGTTACCATAATTAAATCATAGAACACCACTTTATGATTGGAACTATCCTAAAACTTGGTTTTATTTATTTTACCTCATAATTTCTAAATTAATTCACACATTTTATTTTTATTTCTATTTTTTTTGTTTTTATTTTTCTTTCATTTATTATTTATTTGAATAGAACACTATTGTGTATTTGAATATATACATAGTTTAGATATATATAATATGTTGGTGGAAGAGTTGGTTGGATAATAACAAACAAAAAATAAATAAAATAAATAAAAAAATATCTAGATATTTAGTTCACTTAGCCATTAAGCTATCTTATACTCTACAATTGTGAGCCTGTCCAAATCCACTCCCACGTTTTTGAACAGCCCAAGGAGAGGGTGAGAGAGGGAGAGTTGGCTCAAGGGAAGTAGAGAAGTAAGAAGAAGAAAAAAAGAAAAAAAAAAGAAGAGAAAAAGAAGGAATTCTTGAAGGTAAGAACATACCTCTCCCTTAATTTCTCCAATCCTTTCATCAACTCATTCTATTGTCTAGTATGTCTCTTGTGTTACAAATTAATGGTAAATAGGGTTTTTGGTGTGTGTGAAAGTATGTGTATGATATAGTGTCATTGTCTTGCAAATTTGTGAAATTAGGCACTGCTGCAACTTCTCTAATTTAAAAGAAATATCAAATCTATCTAACTCTCAAATTTGAATTTATTGTAGAATATCTTATGTGTTTAGAGCTTGTGACAATTTTATTAGCTCCTAATTGTGTGTTTTTAGGGCTTAGATAATTTGTTAAAAAATCTGGTCCTGAGTCTCTGAAAAACAGTCCACTTTTATCAATTTTATAAAATTCTAGAAAAATCATCTAGTGTTGGTTCTTCTGTAACAATTTATAACTCTGAGTTCTCTTTCCAACAGAATTTATTTGAGTGAAAACCGTCAGGTAGATTGAGAGAAAAGCTAGTTTTCCCAAAGGGTGACAAATCTGGACAGGTTTTCGAATATAGTTTGTAGATGAATTTGTGGAGGGGCTGTGCAACTTCTGAAAATTGGAACTGAAACTAGACAGAATGAATATTGTTTCTGTGCAATTTCAGCCCCTAATTTGACCTAGAAGTATTTTTACCAAAGCGTTCTTTTTAGCCTTGCAGAACCGAACAGTGCTGGAAATTGTGTTCTATTATGTTAATTGTCTCTAAGTGTTTCAAAGCATTTCTAATGTTGTTTTCTTGCCTTACTATACTTATAAATGATGATCATGGACTATATTTCCCCTCGTATGTTTTTCTCATACTCTTTTATATGACCGAATTACGGAATGTGACTAACTTACCTAGCAAAAGATCTAATAAACGGGAAATGATAAGGGGCTGGCAGTGGGTGACATTCATCCTAGTGTTTGAGAACAATTTTATACATATGCATGACATGAATTATGATGGGATTAATACCAAATGAGTTAAGCCTTGTGTAAGCGTTTTGAGCGAGCCCCTAGGTTGACACGGACGTATTCAGAGGCTATGCAATGGTTTCAGGGTGTAAGCCAGCCCTTTGGTATGGTATGTGCAGGGTGTAAGCGTGCCCTAGGCACAATTTGGGGTGTAAGCGAGCCACTTGTTTGGCCGTCCCTTTTGAGGTCCGTCGATGTCGCTGACTGGTAAATAACCGGGAGGTGGGCGTGGGTGGTAAGGTTTGCAAAGCAGCAAAAGGGGGAGTTCTGAGTAGTTCGGTGTTTAATCTTGTGGTTGGGTAGAAGGATCTCTTTGGGGGGTTCTAGATGCCTAGTTTAACTACTAATTCATAAAACCTTAACGTAAGTATGTTATGTTACCTGATTTGTTTTGTGTATGGTTGATTGATTGATAAAAAATATAGGGGTGTGTGTGCTTTTACTGGGCATTCCAAGCTCATGGCGTGTTATGCTAGGTGAAGAAGCAGCTTACGATGGGGAAGGTTATCCTGAAGACAATCAAGATGAAGTTTTAGAGCCGTGGTTCACTTGAAAAATTTGGACTAGTAGTTTGTTTTTGTTTTCTCTCTCCACTTACCTTTTGGTTTGACAGTGTTTTGTAAACCTCTAGTGGAAATCAAATCAGTTATCTATGTTATAACTCTACTTATATGTGTATATTAAAATATCCTGGTTATCTCTTTTATTTGAGTTGTACTTTATATATTTCTCTTATGGTCTCAAATTTTGGGGCGTGACAAATTGGTATCAGAGCCCTGGGTTCAACCCTTAACCTACGCATGTTGACTTGTGATTTTAGATATCCTTGCCTTTCATATTACTATATTCTGTTAACATTATACTATATCATATTAAAGGTGGACTAAAAAAAAATTGTTTATCTACCGTAGGATGGATTTTACGTCAGAAAGCGTTGATGACTGGGGAGTTTTTCGTTTCCAGAATAGACGGGCAGTAGCTGTTAGTCCACAAAGACTTAACCGATGGTGTCAATTGGGAGCGGAGCGTGTGATAAAGAAAGCTATTCGGAAAACAGAGGAGGATTTTTCATACTACACCACGCAAGCAAGACGAGCGTTGGTACGTCGACGCCTCCAGTGAAAATACTGGGAGTTTAGGTTCGCTCTACAGATAGAGCGGAATGGTCAGACTTTTGCTGAGCTTAGGCAAGATGTATTGGCTGAGGATCCGCATCCAGTGATGCGCCACATTGGACCCGAGAGCTGTGGCTCTCATCATCCTGAGTTAGAGGTTCCTTTTCTCTCAGTACTTCCCGGAGCTTCCCCTGCATTCCCTATAGAGGTGTCATCAGAGTACTCCCCTATACCGGCTCAGCAGTTTCCTGCCTCCCCGACATATGCTTCTTTAACCCCAGAGGATCTCGAGGAAGATCCTGAAGAAGACCCAGAGGAATCGTTTGACTTAGGGCTGTAGTAGTCAGGGGACGAACCTTTTTGTGTACCTTTGCAAATAGTGTTTTGTGTGGTTGAAGCATGTTTTGTTTTGGTGTATACACGCTACACGCTAACCTAGATAGTGTAACCTTTTGTAAGAAGAAGTTATATACGTATATATAAAATATCTAGTTGGTTATTCTAGTGTATTACATGTTATTTTATTTTATTTTATTTTGCTTGGTTTAATTGCATCATCCATTTAGAAAAAAATAAATTAATTAATTACACCTCGGACCACATTAAATTAGCCTATTTATTGAACACCTCTTCGCCTTCACAACAACCCTAAGCTTATATCACCCACAAACTTGGCAGATGGCGGACAATGTGGAAGCAAACGATCAAGTCAGACGCCGACGAGGACGTCCAGCTCACAATCAAGGCATTAATCGCGGTAGACCTATACTTGATGAGGAGTTGCCAAGACCAGTCGGAAACTAGATTCTTGAAGAGTTAGGAAGGCTTAGAAGAACAAAACCAAATGAGCGGATATATTTGTTATCTGAGTTCAAAAAGCAAAGACCGCCAGTGTTCACAGGTGAGCCTGACCTGAGAGTCGTTGAGAGCTGGATTCGTCAAATAGAAAAGATGTTGGAAACCATGGGTATTACTGTGCATACAGACAAGATTGCCCTGGCAAGTTATCAGCTAGACGGAGAAACGGATCATTGGGGGTCCTTGATGAAAAACTCTCGGGACACGACAAGCATGACTTGGGCTCAGTTCAAAGAATTGTTTCTAAGAAAATATTTCCCAAACACAGTTAGACAAGAGCGAATTTGGCAATTTCAAACTTTGAAACAGGGTGAGATGTCAGTGACTCAGTATGTGGCCAAGTTTGAAGAGCTGGCTCGATACGCAACCCGATACATCGCAGATGAGGGAGAGAAAGCACGAAAATTTGAGTGGGGTTTAGACCTAATTATTAGAGGTAAAGTGTTACCCTTGCGCCTCCCTACATTTGCTGATGTGGTGGATACGGCATTAGATGCAGAAAGAGAGTGGGTAGACTCAAAAGAGATTTGGATGATGAAAACGAAGAATGGGGGTCAGTCCTTTGTAGGGCCAAGAAGAAATGACCGAAGGAATGTGGTACGGACACCATACACCAGACCGTCGCAACAGCCGCAACAGCAAAGCCAGAAAGGAAGTTTACAAACCAAGCCTATTACACAAATCCAATGCTTTCACTGTCATCAGATAGGGCACAAGAAGTCGAAATGTCCCCAACTTTCTGGGATTGGAAATCAAGCAGGGGGTTCAAGCGCAAATGCTCAAGTTATTGGCGGGCAAAGGCCATGGACGAACAAGTCAGGAGGAAACTGAAAGGTTGGACCAACCGGTAATCAGAAAGCCATAGGCAGAGTTTTTGCTCTCCAAGAGGAAGATAATAAAGATCCATCAGTAATTAGAGGTAACATTGTCCTCTATAATTCTTGGGTTCACGTTCTATTCGATTCTGGCGCATCACATTATTTTATATCAACATCATGTGTTAAATCGTTAGGTCTTAAAGGTGAACCTTTAGAAACTACTTTATGTGTTGCATCACCCTTGGGAGGAAGTATTAGGGTAGGATTAATCTGTCGAGGGTGTGAATTAGAAGTGTCAGGGTTACACTTGAGTTGTGACCTTCGGATCATGAACATGTCCGATTTTGACATAATCTTGGGAATGGATTGGTTATCCGCCCACCGAGCAGTGATTGATTGCTACCACAAGAGGGTGACGGTTTGCACACCTAGTGGAACGTGTTTCCAATTTAAGGGGGAAAGAGACGATTCCCTGAGCATGACAAATTGTAAAATGCAGTGGCATCGACAATTTGCTGGATGGTTAGCAAGTTTGATCATTAATGAAGAAGCCCAATCGGAATCAAATCTTTCGTGTGTAGTTTGTGAATATGCTGATGTTTTTCCTGAGGAATTGCCAGGATTACCGCCACATTGTGAAGTAGATTTTAGTATCGAGTTACAAACGGGTACTGCACCAATATCCCTGACACCCCACCGTATGGCTCCTGCCGAACTTTGGGAGTTGAAGACGCAACTGCAAGAATTACTGTAAAAGGGATTTATCCGACCAAGTACCTCACCGTGGGGCGCACCAATTCTATTTGCAAAGAAAAAGACGAAACACTAAGATTGTGCATAGATTATCGGCAACTCAATCGGGTGACGATCAAGAACCGATATCCACTTCCACGGATTGATGACCTTTTTGACCAACTTCGAGGTTCGAAGTGTTATTCAAAGATTGATCTTAGATCTGGCTATCATCAATTGCGGGTCGCTGATGATGACATTCCAAAAATTGCTTTCCGAACCCATTATGGCCGTTACGAATTTATGGTAATGCCCTTTGGATTAACCAATGCACCAACCGTGTTTATGAGCTTGATGAATAAGATTTTTACTCCGTACTTAGACCAGTTCGTGGTGGTGTTTATTGATGATATTCTAGTCTATTCACTGTCGGAAGAAGAACACGAGCAACACTTGAGAGTAGTTCTCCAGGTTTTAAGAGACAACCAGCTGTACGCAAAAGCAAGTAAATGCGAGTTCTGGTTGAAGGAAGTCACATTTTTGGGACACGTCGTATTGGAGCATGGAATCGCTGTAGACCCGGCCAAGGTAGAAGCAGTATTAGATTGGAAGCAGCCAACCTCAGTATTCGAAGTTCGTAGTTTCTTAGGGTTGGCCGGCTATTACCGACGGTTTATTCAAGACTTTTCTAAACTAGCTAAGCCGATGACTCATCTAACACAAAAAGGGGTAAAATACGATTGGAACGAAGCATGTGAACAATCCTTTCAAGAACTCAAGAGGAGATTGACTAGTGCCCCAATACTCATCATTCCGAAGCGAGACATAGGATATACGGTATATTGCGACGCGTCCAAGGATGGGCTAGGCTGTGTGCTAATGCAAAAAGGGAAGGTGGTGGCTTACGGCTCTAGGCAACTGAAACTGCATGAAAAGAATTATCCGACACACGATCTAGAGTTTGCAGCAATGGTTTTTGCGTTAAAGCAGTGGTGTCATTATTTGTATGGTGAACAATTTGAGATTTTCACGGACCATAAGAGCTTGAAGTATTTGTTCACGCAGAAGGACTTGAACATGAGACAAAGACGGTGGCTAGAATACCTCAAAGATTACCATTTTACTCTATCCTATCATCCTGACAAAGCTAACGTGGTGGCGGATGCCCTGAGTCGCAAGAACCGGGGAATTATTGCTAGCTTGGCACTCAAGGAATGGAACATGGTCGGAACACTTAATGAGTTTGGAGTACAGATGAAAGCTCAGGACGAGAAAGTATACCTTGGCGCTCAAATCGCTACACCCAAATTACTGAATGAGTCACAGAAGTATGATCAGGAGGTGGCGTTCATAAAAGCGCGAATAACATCCGACGATCCTACACCTGATTGGACGATTCATTCAAATAGAAGTTTGAGACATCAGGTAGAGTGTTTGTACCACAAGATGAGTCGCTTAGAGAAAAAGTTCTGAAGGAGTTCCACCATTCGGTGTTCACAGTGCATCCAGGAGGGACGAAAATGTACCAAGACTTAAAATGCCAATATTGGTGGAACGGAATAAAGAAAGATGTGGCTCAATTCGTAGCCAGATGCCTTACGTGTCAGCAAGTAAAGGCAGAACACCAGCGACCTGGAGGGATGCTTCAGCCCTTGCCGATATCAGAATGGAAATGGGAGCATGTAACAATGGACTTCGTCACTGGACTACCCAGGTCACCTAGAGGACATGATGCTATATGGGTTATAGTTGATCGTTTGACGAAAACTGTGCACTTTTTGCCATATAAAATCTCTGACACTTTGACATCGCCGAGTCATCTCTACATTAAAGAAATTGTCCGATTACACGGAATTCCAGTATCAATTGTGTCCGACTGGGACCCGCATTTCACCTCCCGATTCTGGGGAAGTTTACAGGAACCGTTAGGGACCGAATTATGTTTCAGTACTGCATTTCATCCTCAAACTGACGGACAGTCGGAACGTACCATTCAAACTTTGGAGGACATGTTAAGAGCTTGTGTGATGGATTTCAAGGGGAATTGGGAGCGACACCTACCGTTGGTAGAGTTCACATACAACAATAGTTTCCAGGCTAGCATTGGCATGGCTCCATTCAAAGCACTGTACGGTCGGCCTTGCAGATCACCAGTTTGTTAGACTGAAGTTGGAGAAGTGAGTCTATTGGGCCCAGAGATCGTGCAAGAAACTACAGAAAATGTGAAACTTATTCGACAAAGATTAGTGGCAGCTCAAGATCGTCAGAAGAGTTATGTAGATAAAATGAGAAGACCACTAACCTTCACTGTCGGTGATTATGTATTCCTGAAAATGCAGCCCCGCCAAGGGATCATTCATTTTGGAAAGAAAGGAAAATTATCACCTCAATATATTGGACCCTTCGAGGTACTTCAGAAAATCGGAGAGGTTGCGTACAAGTTGGCTTTACCCCCACAGTTGGCTGGAGTACATGATGTTTTCCACGTATCTATGCTGCGGAAGTATATAATGCACCCTTCTCACATCATCAACTGGGAAGAAATCTAACTCAATGAAAACGCTACCTTTGAAGAGGGACCGGTAGCAATTATGGACAGACAAGAAAAGAACTTGCGAGGGAAGACATTTCACCTTCTTATGATACTCTGGCGTCACCATGGTATTGAAGAGTTCACCTGGGAACGTGAAGACGTGATGCGGGCAAATTATCCACAACTATTTAAGACGTAAGGTATGATCTAATTTCGTGGACGAAATTTATTTAAGGGGGATAGGTTGTAGAGACCCTAATTTTTTGTAATTACACTTGAAACCCTGAGCCTTAGGTTAATAACATTTTAGTCCTAGTTCCATAAAAGTCTATGTTAGGGCCCAAGTAAAGAATAATTTCTCCATGTGTTACCATAATTAAATCATAGAACACCACTTTATGATTGGAACTATCCTAAAAATTGGTTTTATTTATTTTACCTCATAATTTCTAAATTAATTCACACATTTTATTTTTATTTCTATTTTTTTTTATTGTTCTTTCATTTATTATTTATTTGAATAGAATACTATTGTGTATTTGAATATATACATAGCATATATATATATATATATAATATGTTGGTGGAAGAGTTGGCTGGATAATAACAAACAAAAAATAAATAAAATAAATAAATAAAATATCTAGATATTTAGTTCACTTAGCCATTAAGCTACCTTATACTCTACAATTGTGAGCCTGTCCAAATCCACTCCCACGTTTTTGAATAGCCCAAGGAGAGGGTGAGAGAGGGAGAGTTGGCTCAAGGGAAGTAGAGAAGTAAGAAGAAGAAAAAAAAAAAAAAAAGAAGAGAAAAAGAAGGAATTCTTGAAGGTAAGAACATACCTCTCCCATAATTTCTCCAACCCTTTCATCAACACATTCTATTGTCTAGTATGTCTCTTGTGTTACAAATTAATGGTAAATAGGGTTTTTGGTGTGTGTGAAAGTATGTGTATGATATAGTGTCATTGTCTTGCAAATTTGTGAAATTAGGCACTGCTGCAACTTCTCTAATTTAAAAGAAATATCAAATCTATCTAACTCTCAAATTTGAATTTATTGTAGAATATTTTATGTGTTTAGAGCTTGTGAAAATTTTATTAGCTCCTAATTGTGTGTTTTTAGGGCTTGGATAAATTGTTGAAAAATCTGGTCCTGAGTCTCTGAAAAACAGTCCACTTTTATCAATTTTATAAAATTCTAGAAAAATCATCTAGGGTTGGTTCTTCTGTAAAAATTTATAACCCTGAGTCCTCTTTCCAACAGAATTTATGTGAGTGAAAACCGTCGGGTAGATTGAGAGAAAAGCTAGTTTTCCCAAAGGGTGACAAATCTGGACAGGTTTTCGAATATATTTGTAGATGAATTTGTGGAGGGGCTGTGAAACTTCTGAAAATTGGAACTGAAACTAGACAGATTGAATATTGTTTCTGTGCAATTTCAGCCCCTAATTTGACCTAGAAGTATTTTTACCAAAGCGTTCTTGTTAGCCCTGCAGAACCGAACAGTGCTGGAAATTGTGTTCTATTATGTTAATTGTCTCTAAGTGTTTCAAAGCATTTCTAATGTTGTTTCCTTGCCTTACTATACTTATGAATGATGATCATGGACTATATTTCCTCTCGTATGTTTTTCTCATATTCTTTTATATGACCGAATTACGGAATGTGACTAACTTACCTAGCAAAAGATCTAATAAACGGGAAATGATAAGGGGCTGGCAGTGGGTGACGTTCATCCTAGTGT